CCAAGCCTGTCTGGCTCTCGTGTGACCTTGTTCTCTATCCTCCCAGGCATCTTCGTCATCGGGTTCAGCTACCCGGTAGTCCCCAAGGGCAAGGCCCGGATCCGGGTACAGATCTCAGCGGTGCACAGCGAGGAGGATATCGACCGCTGTGTGGAGGCCTTTGTGGAGGTGGGGCAGCTACATGGGGTGCTGCCCTGAGCTCGGGTAGGGACACGCAGAGCCAAGGTCCACCTACCACCACAGCGACAAAAGGAGCCTTTCGTCAGTACAGGCCAGAGGCTCTGAGCCCTGAACCAAAGTCCTAGGGCTGGGCTGGGATGAGGCCTGTGCCTATGGCCACGAGAGTGAAATAACAGTGTGAGAACTGGCTGTGAGTCTTTGGTCTGCTTTATTCACAGGCCCTGTCCTGTGGCAGGTGAAGAATCAGGTAGGAGTTGGAGCTCTGAAGGCAGCTCCTGAGGACTACAGAGCTCAGAGCTGACCTCCCCCAAATTAAGACAGGACCCAGGCATCTGGAAAATAGGCAGGGGCCACTGTTTGGCTCAGTTGGATTCTGTGCTGCTGTGGAGGGCAGCTGAGAACCAGCCCTGCAGGCCCTTTCCCATGCCACCCACCCTCTACTCTGCAGCCCCAAGTCTAGCCTTGAACACCTTGTCCTCTGCTCCCCTTCCAAAGGATGTCTTACAGCTGCCCACGTAAGAGGAGGCTGGGTGCCCAAACCCACATTTGGGAGAAGAGAGGAGTCAGGCCCCCAAAAATGAATGTGGGTCACTGCTGGAGAGGCCCCTGGCAGTCTTGAACCCTGTGTTCTAGCCCACATGGTCCCTGACTCTGTAGTTTCGGGTAAGCCCCATTCCCCACGTGTGCTTCAGTTCCCTGGCTGTGGCTGTACCGACAGCAGGTGTTAGGGGAAGGTCTGGGGCCCCACCATCTCGGTTCCAAGCCCTATGGCCTGACAGCCACCAGGGGGCGCAGCGGACTCAGGCTCCAGCCACTGCCAGCTTGCCCTGCCCCTCCAGACTGGGGAGGCCTCGACAGCAGCTATTGGGTGGCCCCGCAGGCAAGGCCAGGAGAGACAATTTGCTGCTGTCAAGACCCCATCCTCCCTTGTCCCCCACAATAGCTCGCCGTTTCCTTATTGGAGATGCCAGTCCCCTTCCCATAGTCACTGCCCTGGTCTTTTTACAGACGCCACAGGAGGAGGGGGTCTCCATTGCCTTCACTGCTCAGCCTTGGTGGCACCCAGTGTGGACAGGGGTGGGGAGTGGGTTCCATGGCCTTAGATGCTCGTACATGGCTTGGGGTGGGACAGTGAGGATGAAAGACCCCTTTTCATTAATGACTTGGAACCAGGCCCACATCTCTGGCAGCCCACCCCTTTGCCCAGACACATTGGGATGGATGATCTCGGCGAGCCCAATCCTGTAGGATCTCAAAGGTGAGATTGTGGGAATCCTAGCCTGCAACAGGGGGAGCTTGAGTCCGGTCCAGAAGCTCCTGGTATGGGAAGAATGCAGCCCAGCAGGAGGGGAGGGGACATCTGTGGTCAGATCAGCAGCACAAACACTTGCAGGCCGCTGCCACAGAGTAGGGCACCTGGCGCCAGGCACACTGATGCAGGGGGTGTAAGTGGGCTGCACTCAGCCAGCAGTGCCAGGCCAGCAGCTGGATGTACGTGGTCTACATAGGCTGGCAGCTCATGCCCCAAGAACAGCCACAGGACAATGGGTTGCAGTCAGTGTGGTGTACCTGGTGGGGCCAGAACGGTGCCCAGGTCAATCTCCTCCCCCTTCTGCAACTCCCCAGTGCTGCAACCTCCTGTGCCAGCTGGCCACAACAGCATTCCATGCCATTGGCCACCTCGCAGCTTCTCCGCCACCACCCAGAAAGGGTCATAGGAAGTGCCCAGCAGGTGCAGCAGCTACTCTGGGCACACGTATTTCAGCTTAGGCACTGGTAGTCGTTGGATGCCCACAACAAGCTATAGGGCCGCGCAGGGCCCCATGGACTGCCATGGATCAGCTGCAAGTCTGGGGACCACTCCCAGGGTGCGCTGTCCATGTCCTCTGCGTTGGCACCAAATTCAAGACCTCCGCTGCCAGAGCAGCACTAGGTGGCATCAGGAGTACACTGGGGCTGAGGCTCTGATGGTGTGCTGGTTCTGCCTGCCCCACGGCTGCACTCTGATCACCTCTGTCCTCCTTCCCTCTACCTCTGCTATCATATCAACTCAGCCTTGCCACTGCTGGGAGCTATTTGCCAGAGTCCAACCCAGGGCAAGAAGGGGCTTTGTGGGCTGGAGGCTCCTAAGGGGCAGGAGGACAATGTGTCATGGGTCTTAGGAGATTTCCACCTTTTTCCAGGGCTCAGGCATACACATTTGTGTGCCCAGGCTTCTGGGAGTCTAAAGGTCCGTTACTTTCATGCAGAGTGGTTGTAAATCTCTGTCAATCATTCCAAAATCCCACCACACTGAGTCTAGAATCTTACAATCCCGTTGTTCAGTGACCATAAGATTCTACAATTCTGATTCTTTAATTCAGTTTTGATGGTTCTGAATTCGGGTTTGGAGAGTCTAGATGTGATTCCTAATAGTTTCAATCCAGCGGGTCTCTTCATCTGGGGTGGGTGACAGGCTTTAGAGAAGCACCTCTGAGCTCTGGCAAACACCCAGGGGGCTTGCAGGAGCTGCTTCTGAAGAGTATCTTCCCCAGCTTCTCAGGCCTGGAATGCCAGTCCTGGCTCCATCAGTGCCCCTCACAGTTTTCTCTCCCCTTTTACATTCTTCCCCTTGATGCCACCTCCCCCTGCCAGCTTCTAGAAAGACTCTGCCCTCAGTCCCTACCACCTTTTCCCTCCTTTCCTTAACTCACTGCAGACCACATTTTGTCCTCACTATGCCTGCCCAGTTTCACCAACATCCTTGTCACTAAATCCAGTATGCCTCACTCCCCAAGTACTAGCCTCCCTAGTGACCATGTGGCCCACTCCTCCAAGAGGTTCAGGCCAGAACCCTATGACTGAGTCACATGGCCGTTCACCAAGACCTATTTATCTCTTTGGCTCTTGTCTGAACAAGAGGCTCCTAACAGGGCACTCAAATCTGTCCCCCTCTGTCCATCCTTTTCACCCCAAGCCATAATAAACTTCTTACAAAATAAAATGTGCAGGTCATGTCCCTGCTCTGGAACTTCCACTAGTTCCCTGTTGCCCTCATGGTAAAGCCAGACTCTTTGGACAGATACATAAACCATCTGGTCTCCACCTGGGCTAAGCCTCTGGAACAAACTTAGGGAAGGGCATGGGTCTAGGGATTTGCCAGCCCTGAGGGAGGGAGTCCTACCTGAAGTCTGAAGAAAGGGGACTCATGTCCTGGTCTCCCGGCCTAAGAAACCCCATTCAAGATTATGAATCCTTTCTGAGCTTGGATTGGAACCCTGCTTGGAATAGGGAGGGGAAAGGAGAGGAGTCATCAGTCAGGGCCACAGGAAATGGGCTGGGTCCTGGCCATGGAAGGGTTAACTACAAAGCGAATCTCAGTCAGCGAGATCAATGGGTTACAGAAAGAGAAGCAGCAGCAACGCAGAGAGGCAGAGCAGAGACAGGCAGAAGAGCATGCCACCTGGGGGAATCGGACTGAGGAGGAGGTGGCCAGTGGCTACTCCAGAGGGAGTCTGGCTCAGCAGAGGAGGCAGAGGAGAGGAGGGGTGTTAAGGGAGGAGTGAGAAGTAGGAGGCAGACCTGTACCTTCAGGGAGGCACCACGGGGCAGCCACCAAGCCAGGAGGCAGCCCAGCCTGGCCGTTCCACCCAGGACCAAGCACGGGCCCAGTGCCCAGGATTGAGGTGGGTGTTGTCCATCCTGGGCTTTGGGGGCCTGCTGCATGCTGGGTGCTGGGGTGGGGGCAGATATTGCCTTTCTTCCCTCCTCCCTGCCTGGCCCCCCATACCCCTAATTTGTCCCACTACCCTAGTGGTCCCGGGCATGCAAGGGGATCCACAGGTAGTAGGCGATGAAGGCTGTGGGGTGGGGCAGGGGTGAGAATGGGCACCGTGTGCACATATGCCCCCCCACACACACACACAGGTTGTCAGAGGCACCACCTGTTACAGCTTCTCAGATGAGCACTCCAGCCTAGGAGTCAGGACACCAGGAAGGCAGCAGCCCCAGATCTGCCATTCGGTGTGATATTAGCCTCCCATGTCCCCTCTCTTGGCCTCAATTTCCCCATCTGCAAAAAGGGTGCAGTGATCTATATGGTCTTCCCAGTTTTGTCATTGTGGAGCTCTCACTAGCTGGACTTTCCAATGACTCAGGGATGTCACCTGTATTTTGCTGAGGTTACAGCTTGTAGCCAGAGAAAGTCCTGAACCTGTGTACAAGGGTCTTACCTGAGCTTCAGATCCCTATTGAGAAGTAAGGAAAATATACCTGCTTCTGGGGTTGGAGCTGCCCCTCTCACCAGCTGCCATGTCTTCACCTGCCTTATGGGTTGAAAGTGTCCATTAACTAACTAAGCAGTTCTCTACACCCTAGGCTATAGGGGTGTTCCCTAGGAAACTGAGCCACCCCCCCACCCCCCGCAACACCAATGTGACTGTCTCAGGGGCTTGGTCACACAGTGGGTTTTAGTGGTGACTTTTTTTTTTTTATGTCCTTTTTGAGACCAACCGCACCGTGCTCAGCCAGTGAGCACACCGGCCATCCCTATATAGGATCCGAACCCGCGGCGTATGTCCTTTTTGAGACCAACCGCACCGTGCTCAGCCAGTGAGCGCACCGGCCATCCCTATATAGGATCCGAACCCGCAGCGGGAGCGCTGTTACGCTCCCAGCGCCGCACTCTCCCGAGTGCGCCACGGGCTCGGCCCTTCAGTGGTGACTTTTGGCTCTGCTCTTCCCTCCCCAGTCTCCCAGGATCTTCCAGCTCAGGACACCTGGCCAGACTGGGGGAACTGCTGGGAGCTCCTGCCTGAGTGCTCCAGCTTCTCTTCCCCAGGTGCCCAACTGATGGGGAGATGGCGGATGCCCAGAACATTTCGCTGGACAGCCCAGGGAGTGTGGGGGCTGTGGCTGTGCCTGTGATCTTTGCTCTAATCTTCCTGCTGGGCACAGTGGGCAATGGGCTGGTGCTGGCGGTGCTGCTACAGCCTGGCCCCGGTGCCTGGCAGGAGCGGGGCAGTACCACGGATCTGTTCATCCTCAACCTGGCAGTAGCCGACCTCTGCTTCATCCTGTGCTGCGTGCCCTTCCAGGCCGCCATCTACACGCTGGACGCCTGGCTCTTTGGGGCCCTGGTCTGCAAGGCCGTGCACCTGCTCATCTACCTCACGATGTACGCCAGCAGCTTCACGCTGGCTGCAGTCTCCGTGGACAGGTGCGCAGTGCCTGGGCTGGGCGGGGCCGGGCCAGGGAAGGAAGGCCCGAGCAGATTCTCATTGACCTTAGGAAAGACAGAATGGGGGACCCAAAAGGGAGGTGGGAGTGAGGGGAGGAAAACTCTCTCGCCCCCTGCAACCAGCCTCTGGGTATCTGCAGGGCACGCTTGGTTTCTTTTCATTTTTTTTTCCGCTTGGGAGGACTATGTTACTCTCCCCCCCACCTCCCTTGGGAGCTTCCAGAGGACATTACTATGTCTCAAGTGTCAACACAGGCCGTGGCACATAGTAAGTGCTCTGTGTTAAAAAAAATCGGCAAAGGAAACCAGGAACGCATTCACTAGATATTTTATAATTGCCCACACCTGGCTCAGGCTGTGCTCACACCGGCTTCCACAGCTTGAAACGGGATCCAATCCAGACTCCCTGGCTGATGACCTTGGGCAAGTCACTTCTCTCTGAGCCTCATTTGACTCCTACGTAAAATAATTCTATAAATAGCATCTAACAGCGATTCAGCCCTTGCTCCGTGCCAGGCACTGCTCTGCGCACTTGGCGAGCTAACACCCTTAATCCTCACCACCAGCCCCACTGTTCAGACGCGGGACTCGAGGCCCGCCCGGGCCACAGACCCCAGAGCCGGGGCGTGGCTGCGGGTCGCGGCGGGGAGGGCGCCCAGCCTCGGGCCGCGCTGACCCGTCGTCCGCCCGCAGGTACCTGGCGGTGCGGCACCCTCTGCGCTCGCGGGCCCTGCGCACGCCGCGCCACGGCCG